CCCAGCCCCACCCGGGACCAAGTGTGTCCTCGAGTGTCGGGTGCAGGGGTGGGCTGGGGGAACAGTGCGTGGCCTGTGGGCCCGTGAGGGCAGCGCGCCCCGGATGTTAGCGTTTCATCATGGACTCGCGCGTGCTCCGTGTGCTCCCCAATAAAGGATCTTTCCTATTCCACCTCGCGTCTTTGCTCCGCCCACGTCGGCCTTCGAGGATGCAGCCCATGTCCAGTGTCCAGTGTCATCACTCAGAGGAACGAGGAGGGGTCGGGCCGTGGCCCCTGGACCAGCGGATTCTCCTAAGCTGCTGCGGCCCCACGTCAAGGCCGCCACCTCAGCCCAAGGACCCGGCCGGCCCAGGACACTGCCCACGGGCGCGTGCCCTGGCGAGTCTGTGACAGTGACGCAGCTGTGGGCTCTGCTGTGTCGGGGCCGGGGTGTGGGGAGCTGATTGCTGGGCGCCGGAGGTGTGAGGGCATTGGGCTACAGCCATGGAGGTGCCAGGGAGGGACCCCGTGTTGCCACGGCAGTGGTGCCCGGCTGGCAGTGGGGCATCAGTCCTGGTGTGGGCTGGGCCAGGCTGACCCCAGTGGGCCCCAGGTGTCTCCCGATTGTTGACAGATGGGGGCAGGGCGGGCCAGGGCTGTGTCCCCTCTGACCTGGTCTCTCCGCCCTGTGCGGGCAGCACTTCCTGTTTCCTGGGCGGTGTCCTGGCCTGGCCTGCTGGGACTCCCTTACCCGATGTCACCCCACACCCATGGCCCTGAGCCCCGTCTCCATGTGGACGGGCACATCCCATGTCCCCACATGAGGTCCCAGTGCTCACGTCTGACTGCTGTCCAGGGCTGGCCACCCTGGCTTCCCTGTGCCAGCTGTCCCCCCAACAGTCCCCATAGTCCCCCCGTCCTGACTCAGAAGCCCCTGGTGTCTGTGTCCGCCCCTTCCCGCGGGGTTGGCTCCATAAATGTCATCTCCTGATCCATCAGCATGGCAAGGACCCCCACCCCAGCCGCTGCCCGGTGCTCTGGGCGCTTGGAGATCTCTTCCTTTATCCAGGGTGGGGGCACCCCAGGCTTGGCAGCTCAGGTCGGGTGTCACCCCAGCGCGGTACAGCCCAGCCAGTCCAGCCTCCCGGGCTCCGCCCTGGCTCTGCTCTCACCCCGGACACTGTCGAAATAGACTTTTTATTGCATTGCTGCCGTTTTACAAAAATATGACAAAATAAATTAAAAACCAAATAAATAATCGCCTATTCTGTGTGGGTGTCATCTATTGATTTTGGGGCTCCTTTTGTCCCCCATCCTGGTTGAAAGGAAAACGGCAGAGGGGCCCCCGCCTTGGGGTAGCCGTGCTGGGCAGCGAGGGTCGGGTCTGGCTGCCCGCGTTGCTGACTGTTGCATATAACAGGAGGTGGGAGCTAGTGCCAGCCGCTGGGCCAGCATACCGCCTGCGGGCTGGGGCTGGGGCCTGGGCCAGGTGCAGGGGCTTCAGGGGGCTCTGGCAATTGGGGGAGGCTGTAGAAGCTGGCGTCCCCCGCCAGGGGCTGTGGCGGGAGTGTGGGCGCGGCCA